GAATGCGTCCGGGAGGAACGAGAAACTTGGACACTATCGGAGCGACTGTGCCCCGACGCATCAGATTTAGGCTTGTTGCTAGACACAATTTCACGAAATTTGGATTGCTTTAATCGGAGTTCTTGTAATAGTTTGGTTATGATGGAGCGTACTTGGGGAAGGTACTTCTCGAGGGTAGCTGAGGATGCATCTTCGGAAAGGCACTCTTCTAAAACTATGCGCAGATCATCGGGAAAACCTAGGAGCTCTCTGCACGGCGATATAAAGATGGGAATCATTGTAACATGACTGAGGAACGTACGACATGTCGATCTCATAGAAAGCAAATGCAGCGACTGCGGCGTTGAAGTCATTACCGAGACGAACGTAAACGTCACTGACGTCCTCTTCTGAAGATTTGGCACTTGACCACTGGGTAAGGCATTCTAAAAGTTGCTTGATGGAAACGAGTAGACGAGTGACAGTAGACTCGACTACGGGCTGTAGCAAGTAATCAGGTAAGCGTTGAGAATTCATGAATGAAAACGACAACGTAACAACAGGGGCTACGGAGATTGTAACATGATTTGTAAAGGGTGATAGCACACCCAACAGGGATTATGCGTATGTTGTAGCCACACCGCGGCGATAACAAGAAGTCTCAAGTCTAACTCACATTTGGACGCATCTTGCCCGAGGAAGAGGAGCTTCTTGTGTGGTCATTTCTAGGAGGAGGTGTACCCGAAGTTGGAGGAGGTATTGGCTGTTTCACGGCCATCTTGATTAAAGGGTTATGGCTATTTTTCGCGCGGTTTGAGGTTTGAGTCGGTTGACAATTGAAAGGAGTGTAAACGGGGCGACGGGAAAACTGGAAAGGAGAAAGGGGGAAATCTATCTATCACTCTTTTGATTATGTCATCATCGCATTGCCTTTCGGTAGCACACTGTCTATCGTATCTATCCATCCCCACCCCATCTTATCAAATATACAATTCTCCCTTGGAAACGGTTTTGACTTGACCAGCAAGCTTGATTCTTTGCTCAGCCACATCCAACAATATCCTAAGGTCACCCTCACGAGCGCTGACCTGTTTCGCAAACACAACACCAGTGAGGTTGTTCATGGACATCCAGTATGGCGTTGATAATGTATGCGCCGTGCCACACACGGGATCCTCCGGAACTCCAGCACGAGGTGCGAACATCCGAGATTCGAATGTGACGCCTGGAACAGACGATGGCGCGACGACGACATGAACTATGAAAGGGCTTTCAAGCTAACACACACCCATAAAGGAAAGGCGAATCGCGTTTGTCAACGAGGTTTGTGCCCACTCACGACCAGACAGGACAAACTCGACAAACTCACCAAGGCATCCGTATTCACCTTGAGGTTCTTCAAGTCCACCGTGTCCACCTCTACAAGCGCATACATGTTCAAGTGTCCCGCCCCACGTCCGGTATACTTAACCGGGACGCTCTTCCCAAACGCCTTTGTGAGCGCTCCGCGCAGCTGGACATCCTCCTCCGGCGATGGAGTCACCGCAATCTCAGAGTCGAGGTCTATCTCAACGCGACTTTCCTCAACTTTGCGCGCGAAAAGTAACTTTCCCGATGTCGCTTCGAACCGTATCGCCGTGAGACCCGCACCCCGGGCGCTAGAAAAGATAGCCGCGGCAGCTGCAAGTGTACCGTGTCCACATAGGGGCGCCTCGATCCCAGGCGTAAACCAGCGAATGCCAAACGTCGCCGTCGACTCATCTAAGTGAGCAGGTTGGTCATTCTGCGTTTTCGGCGCGACGAAGACCGTGATCGGCTGGTTGAAGTTGGCTGCGATCGACTGTAGCGTCGTGTCGGGGAGTGCAGTTAACGAGGGCACGTGTACGATCGCTGCGGGGTTACCGCCTTCGAGCCTATCCGTAAACGCATTTTCGATGGTGAAAGGAAACGTTTGTGGGCGACGCGTATCGATAGTCATCTTTCCCCTGCGTGTGAATGGAGGAGGGAGAGAAAAAAAAATGAACAAATTGTAGTTTTAAAACTGTAATATGGAGGACGTTTCTTGTCGCCGAAATGGGGTACTGTGTACTTGATTTTCCGGGGTATTTATGTAGCGTAAGCAAAACCAATCAGCCTCAGCGCTCGGCGAGCTGAATGACTCGTTACAAGGAACGGGAGGGGTCAGCCCGCCCTTTCGTGACGAAACGCGTAGTGGGCCCCGGCCAGGAGGGGTTGGTACAAGCTTGGAAGAGTTTCTCATACTTTATGACCTCAAAGCCGTGAAAAAACCCATCCTCAAGGCCGCCAAATCGTTACAAGTGACAAACGACTTCCACCCTTGACGTGTTGGACCGCTCGGAGATATGTATGAGTTTAGCGCACCGGCTTTGATGACATCAACCAGAAAGGGATACCATAATAGCAATACAGTATAGTACACGAAGAGACATGCACAAATCTGACCTGGCTGATTACATGCTACATGCTACATATATACGATATTGTTGTGCCATCATACCCGAAACGCCAGTTCTACGACAGTATTAATTAGGCTTAGCCACCACAATCCGCCCACATGATGTTGATCCTTGTCATGATGACTAAATTTAAAAGAATCCAGGGCCCGTGTGAACAGAAGCAGCGAATGAACTTGCTCATTTCTTGGAGTCCAGCTTCCATGACACGTAGCAGATAGAGTACAGCAGTGGTTAGATTGGGACCGTGGGTGAATGACAATGACAGACCGATGGGTATGCTAACAGCAAGAAAGGTACTGGGTAGGACTGCTACCCGGACCTACTTGAAAGCCAGATTGACTGGCGCATGCAGCATGCATGGGAAAGAAGGTTCGATGGCCAACTGATTCACGAGTTGTGTCCCTGAAACCAACATTGATTCTATAACATGTGCAACATATGAGTGACACTGACAAACATGACGACAGTGACAACAGAGTAAAGTTAAAGATACATGCGTCCAAGTTAGTGGTAAGCAAATGACAGCACAATGCACGACAGAGTGAGACAACAAGGTCCCCTTTCTCTCCCCCTCCCTCCCTCGTATAAAAAGAAAGGGCCAGAAAAATCTCAGGTAAGGATAAATAGGTAGATAGATGAATAGATAGAAAGATAGACAGATTATATCTAGGGGGGAAATTAATTCCTCCCACCCTTATCCAGGCCACAGATCCTCCGAATTGAGTAGCACAGTGGGTTGCAACGGGGTCGCGAGGACCATCGAATCGTCATCATCGTCGTAGTCATCCCCAAATACATCCTTTCCCGTTGGCGCAGATGCCGACGCCGACGCCGGTAAAAGTAACTCGCGAAGCGCCACCTCGCGCGCGGTAGATGCGGCGAGCTCAGCCCGCAATCTACCAAAACACCAATGCATAAAAAAAAAAAAGATTAACCCCGCATCCCAATCACGTCAAATAAAGGAAGAAAAAAAAATCCCGCACCGGATGCATTCTTCCTCGACGAGCAATACGCGCGGAAATGTTCGTTTGAGAGGAGTAGCCGCGCGTGGACGCACCCGCTGGGGCAATGGAACACTGCGAGACTTCACCTGTCCACATGTCTGTGTAATCCGCCTCTCTTCCGCGCGCAAGCCCGCAAGGCTCTCCGTCACCGCTGCGATCTGCCTTGCGAGGTCCCCCGCGGGCGATGAGGCTCGCGACGATAATAACGGCGGAGACGGAGATCTTGTAGGACGACGGCCACGACTATGACGGCGCGAAGGAGATTTTGAAGACGAGCTTGCGGGGGAACGTAGGATCAGTGGTCGTGCGGGATGGCGCTGTGGTGTCGGGGATTCTGGAGGTGACGGGGCATGGGGCGACGTTGGGGATGACGGCGGTGGTGTCATAGCTCGAGTCGTACCCAGTTCTGGCGCTACTTGCGCTTCTTCAAGCTATAATGAGAAGCCAGAAGTGAGGGGCAAGGCTCGGGAGAAGTTTTTGGTTGGGTTTGGTGGATTGGGAAAAGTGGTGGTCGCGTTACCTTTTGTACGAGACCGGCTATTTCTTCCGTCAATGCTTCGTTTCGCGCTGCGGACTGCTGCAATACGCGGATGGCGCCATCACGCGAGAGTCGTGGTAAAGGTGACTCTGCGTAGGATGTGGGCGCGGTATCGTACCGCTCTTCGAGCTCAGCCTCGCGACGTGCAAGTTGTGCCTCGAGTTCTGCGACACGCCGCTGCGCTTCAGAGCGGGCTCCTCGCTCGCGCTCACACTCCTCCCGCGATGCAGTGATTAGCGTTACTGAATACGCGCGGGCAGAGGCGGTCCAAGTTGTCTGCGATTGTTCGTGTAGAGTCCGTGGCTTGGGTGGGGCTATTGGTGAAACAAAACTTAGCAAGGAGGGGATGGAGGACGGGGGGGCGCAGAGGACTTGAGCAAATCTTTACGTACCAGCCAGACTCGTCGACGCGAGACCGCTATGTGGCCAAAGGCTATAATCGTTACAAAGTTCGACTGAGAAGAGGTGGAGGATATGTCAAGGTGGCCATGACTGATTGGGCGGGTGAAACGCGCCTTTCTCAATGAGGTGCAGCACGCCCTCGCGTAAACTGTCTCGTTCCGCCTCCATAGCGGCTCGCTCAGTCCTTGCGGCACGCAGTTGTGCCTGAAGAGCAATGCGTTGACGGCGTTCATCAGAAATCTCCTTTACATATGTGCAACGCTCCGAGTCGAGAGTGTCAAGTGTGGCCATAAGACGAGCATGTAACTTGGCGGCGCGAGCGGCATGTGCGGCGATTTGGAGTTCGAGGTCGGCGATCTAGGTGGAACTGCCATACTGAGACGTGTCTGGGGGATAACGGAACGAGATGTGGAGAAGCGAGCGCACCTTATCGTCGTTGTTGTCCGTGTTTGAAGATTTAATGGAATACTTGGGGGGTCCCATGAATTAGCCAACTGCCAGTGGCCAACGTCCAAAAAGCACAAGCACAATAGCAAAATCATCTGGATCTGTTCAGCTCAGTCAACTCTCTTTAGTAAGGTAAGTTGTCGATCGTAGCATGGCTCAATGGTCTAGTAGTATGATTCCTTCTTCGGGTATTATCCGGAAATGGAGGAGGTCCCGGGTTCAATTCCCGGTTGAGCCCATTTTTTTTCCTTTCTTTCTTTCTTTTTCTTTTCATCAAATCAGCCCGTACAGCTGGAAGAAAATTGCATATATGTTTAACTGTTCAACTGATAGATGATAGGCTTTTTTATAAGCCAGTGATGTGTCAAAAAAGTATGTGTTTAACTCCGGTTTTCCGACACTGAAGTATCACATGCGATGACAAACCGGCTATCCTCGTGACTTATTCCCTCGGCCATCATCCTCTTTATAAAAAACCACCATCGCCCCATCCCCCACCTTTACAATTTTTCAACTCTCATATAGTCTACAGTAATGGCCTCAATCACCCAGGGCTCGGTTTCAGCTACAGCCACTGGCAAGGCAGCAGTTCTTGCAAAGAACGACAATGATGTGGTCATCGTCTCTGCAGTGCGATCTGCCATGACTAAGGTACTGTCGAACGCCGTTATCCAACTCTCGTCCTATTAAAAATGGCTATCCAGGGCAAGAAGGGTGGTTTTAAGGACACCCGTCCGGAAGAGATTCTTTCGGGTATCCTTCGTGCGGTTTACACAAAGGTCAACCTCGACCCCGCACTTGTTGAGGACATCAGCGTTGGAAACGTCCTTCCCCCTGGCGGTGGTGCAAGCGCGGCTCGTATGGCTGCACTTCATGCTGGAATCCCCGTCTCTACTTCCATCGCTACCGTCAATCGTCAGTGCTCGTCCGGTCTTACGGCCGTTAACCAGATTGCAGCTCAAATTTCAACCGGGCAGATTGACATTGGTATCGGTACGTGCTAATACGCGATGTTTCATGATTCCGCTCTTATGTGTTGAGTATATAGGTGCCGGCGTCGAGTCCATGACTTTTGGTTATGGCGCTGCGTCACAACCTGATGGTTGGTCGGAGGCAGTTCTTTCTACCCAAGAGGCCGAAGACTGCCTTCTCCCTATGGGCATAACGTCAGAAAATGTCGCAGCTGATTATGGTATCACGCGCGCACAGCAAGACGCCTTTTCTGCGAAGTCTTTCCAAAAGGCCGCAGCTGCGGCCAAAGCTGGCCGTTTCCGCGATGAAATCGTGCCGCTCAAGGTGCACTGGGTTGATCCCAAAACAGAGGAGGTCAAGGATATCATTGTCGCAGCTGACGACGGCATCCGCGACGGTGTTACCGCCGAGAGTCTCTCTAAACTCAAGCCCGCGTTCAAAAAGGATGGGACCACCCATGCTGGCAGCGCCTCGCAAGTTTCTGATGGTGCCGCTGCCGTCCTCCTCACGCGGCGCTCGGTTGCGAAGCGCCTCGGTCTTCCCATTGTTGGAAAATTCGTCGCGGCCACCACCGCCGGCGTTCCTCCTCGCGTCATGGGTATCGGCCCCGCAATTGCCATTCCCAAGGTGCTCAAGCAGACTGGCCTCACGAAGGAGGAGGTTGATTTCTTCGAGATCAACGAAGCGTTCGCATCCCAGGCTGTTTATTGCGTCGAGAAGATCGGCTTGCCTTACGAGAAGGTTAACCTTAATGGGGGTGCGATCGCCATCGGCCACCCTCTCGGTATGAGTGAGTATCTTCGTTACCTCCTTTTCTAAGTAAGGGCGTAGGGCGTTGACCTTGTTCATCAGCCGGCGCACGTCAAATCGCCACGGGCTTGAACATTGCGAAGCAGACGAACAAACGAATCTTCGTGACGAGCATGTGCATCGGTTCGGGCATGGGCATGGCTGCTGTGTTCGTGAGCGAGCACTAATTACCGCCCAATTTTTTGAGGGAGTTTTTAACATATTCCCTCGATTACTTCGTTACACATTGTCCCTGTATACGCTATTCTACTACATTGGAATCGAACAATCTTGTATTTCAAACATACCATGCATGCATGCCATGACGTTCCACTTGAGGTATCTCCGAAATTCTCCATCTTACGAGGAGGTGTATGGAGCATGAAAGCCGACTCACCCGGGTCCGAGCGCCGCAAGCCCAGCTCCATGTGATAAAAATTATTAATATCACCACCACGACACCCGAATCATTCGCTTGCTCAAGTGGACTTCGGGTGTCCTGCGCATGGCTCACAGCTTCTCGCTTGCGCAGCCGAATAGGTTTGGTTGAAGGTTGCGAACAATCTTAGAAAAGTGGACAAGAAGCATGTATGTATGTTGTCTTTTTCTGTTTTTTTTTCTAATCTCTCTTTCTGGGATAGATTCGAATCGAATTCGACTACATCGGCCGAACGGAAAGTTTAAAAAAAGATTGAAACCGAACGACTTGGAAGATGTGTACGTTTACGTGTACGTGTATTTCAAACACATGGATGCAGAGGATATATAACCATGAATGTTCTCGTCCCCAACCTAAAAGAAAAATAAGGTATACATAGACATTTGCATGTCCCTTCTTAACGGGCCGCACCGCGGCATGGAAGAAAACGAAACGGGGCGATCTTGGTAAGAAGGATGGTCATTTTGTTCTCCCTGAGACCCTAAAAGAAACGTATCAAGACCAGCGCAGGTAAAGTGAACTGCACGATCCCAAATATTTCGTCAGGTTACAACTTTCAATGAAGAAAGTTGCCCTTCTGCTCGCCCACAAGTGAAATATACACCGACACACTTCTCACGCACAGACCCTCATAACAGTATATCACGTGCTGCACTCACATATAAATTTTGGTCGCGGCGGTCGTGGGACGGTTTCTTTTCTTTTCCTCTTTTTAACAGTCAGAAAACGCAGCTCTCTTGTCTCCCACTTTGGTGTGCGTTTATAAACAAGAACGCGCGTTACGGTGTCGTACGCACGGGATTGGGTTGTGCGGGCGTGAGGGGCTGATGGACTGCGCAGAATGTGTCGCGTGTCGTCGTTCGAGAGCTGGGCATGCCGTGCGCCTAACAGTTTTTTCTGATCCTACTGGCGATGTGGTTAATCAGCTCTCGATACAAGTTTTATGATCTTTATTTCTTTAAATGTATTGTTTTAATTTTAATTTCAAATTTTTTTTGGTTCCTTCTGGTCGTGCAACGTGTGGTGAGAATCCAGTGTTTTGTTACGTTGCGTCGCGTTGTTTTTACATTGTGAATGCAGGGCGTATTGTGGCACAGGACAGCGTTTTTCCGATTCCGTCGGGCGATGCAACCATCGCATCATGGGCTTAAATTGATAATATGACTGGGGTTTACCTCGAGGCCTCTATCCATATTCCTCCAGGCTTTATTAGTTACCTAGTCCCACCGATCCAAAGGAAATGGGAACACGATTTTTACGCTTTCTCGACAGCTGCTATATTCTTTGCGTAACACGCAAAAATTTGTTCTCGCTTGGCACTTTATTGCTACTGCTCGCCTCTCCACCAGCTCCTCCTACCCGGTTTCACTTCCCGCTCCATGACTCCGCTTGCCGTTCTTGTTCTGTTCTGTTCAATAAATAAAGCCCCGCGCAGGAAATTTCCAGAAACCATCGATCTCCTCGGCAGTCGCTACCTATAAAGTGTCGCTCGCTCTATTATTATAACGTTCACATATGACTAGGCGTACGCAGCACAACCCGTCCGAAGCAAGCTGCAGGCCTTTCTAGAGAGGAACAGCAGGGCCCTTAGGGGCTGCTTGGCTAGCTAGCCGGCCGTTTTGGCGTTCTCCTCACCTACCGCGCTCAGTGTCAGAGTCCACCACGAGTTTAACTCTGTGGTTGAAATTCTGGTCATTGACGACTCGTTTCATGATACCATAAGGATTAAATGGCCTCTGAAAAGGCGTGGGGATCCATCTCGTTTGACGAGCTCGATTCAAATAGGAGACGTCGCTCCACTCCCTCTACAAGTAGCCTGTGCAACTAATCTGCTAGTGGCACCCCACGCCTTGCTGAAACGCTGAGAGCCATTGACCCTGCCAGCGGCTTAGCAGAGAGACCTTCCACGTCCATCTGATGTGGGTGGTCCATCGCTTTTCCAAAAAAAAGAAAGAAAGCCTTTCTTGATGCAAGCAATCCCATTATCGATCGGAGACTATTTTCGGAACTGTTGTATGGTCATACAACCCGCGTCCATGCATGGTGGCGAGATGATCAAAATCAGTCCCAACATCTGGAAAACGCATTGCCATCAATGCATGTACGAGCGCTGCATCGGGTGGCTCTGTACGCTCGCTGAACTGATTAGTTATAGTGCGCGATCGCAGGGGGAGGGAGGGGTGGGAGAGGGGAGAAAGGGGCGATTGTCCTCCCCTTCCCCACACCAAGACGGGCAGACACGAATGTTTCCCTGTCGTAGCGCAACCCAACGAGGCACTGGTCCGAGAAATAAATTTGCAAATGAGCCCCCTCCGAGATAAAATCGAAATCATGATAATTTGCGGCATTGCTGCGGTTGGGCCCGTGTTTCCATGGCAAGTTGGCTTGAACCCGACCCCACTCGGTGATCGCGCAGTAAACGCGACGATGGCGCAGCGCCGAGGATCTCGCGTTGAACCCTGTTATGCTTTTTATGCGTCCGATATGAGCAGGCGCGCGGTGCCACACATATAAAATAGAGGCGTGCAAAAAAGAAGAAAAAAACAATATATATTTAAGAGAAGTGCGGTTTCCAAGCACACTTCCAACAGATCGGTCGGGGGCGTCTAATGACTCAGAAAGACATGCCTGGTACCCGGGGTGGGAGAGTTTGTGTTCAGGAACTTGGTGTCGTAACCGAAGCGACGGTGCCGCACGCCATCGGGCGCGCGACGGATGATGCGGGACTAAGTGGCACCGAATAAGCCCACGCAGATAGCGCCGCAGAAAGCGCGCCCGGACATTATGCATTCATGGGCCCTGAGAACCGGAGAAGGGGGACGTTGGTCAGGTGCACGATGCGGAGATGTGCCACCTTGCCCCAGTTCCGGCCGCGTGCATGGAGAGGCTGCTGTGGCAAAAAATAAAATCAAATAAGGGCCAAATGATACCTACCTGTGAGTGCACCGCCTGGCTTGCAACATTGCGACAATTGGTGTCGCGACACAGTCGATCTGATAATCGATGCAGCCCCCGTGGACTCGATCACTTTCTCGGCG